CTTGGCATTCTGGAGAAAGATTCGACTACCAAGAGAATACCTTCGGAAAAGGTTCTGCATGCCCTGCTTGTGTTTGGTTCCAGCAGTGAGGAATACATGCACTTGATCATCCCGGTCATTGTACGCACATTCGAAAAACAGGGTCAACCGACATTCCTACGTAAGTCCGCCATCGAGACGATCGGTAAAATTTCTCGGCAGGTGAATCTCAACGATTATGCCGCGAAGATTATCCACCCGCTGGCGCGAGTCCTTGCAAATGGAGAGATCTCCTTACGAGTTGCTGCTTTGGATACACTTTGTGCACTGATCCAACAACTCGGTAAAGACTATCTGCACTTCCTCGGCACCATCAACAAGGTCTTGCAAACAAGCCAAATTCAACATCAGAACTACGATCTACTTGTTTCCAAGCTGCAGAAAGGAGAGGTATTGCCGCAGGATTTGAGTTCAGAGGGGCGTTTCATTGACCAGCCCGACGAGCCGGCCTTTGCGGAGCTGGGCAATAAAAAGCTGGAAATGAATGCGATACATCTGAAGACTGCTTGGGATACAAGAGGGAAATCCACCAAAGAAGACTGGCAGGAGTGGTTGCGACGCTTTAGCACCACACTCCTGAGTGAATCTCCTAACCACGCACTCCGGGCTACTGCCGTTCTAGCCAGTGTGTATCTACCACTGGCCCGGGAACTCTTCAACTCGGCTTTCGTCTCATGCTGGAGTGACCTGTACGAACAGTTTCAAGATGAACTTATCCAGAACATTGAGAACGCTATTCGATCAGAGAATGTGCCTCCGGACTTGCTTGGTCTTCTTCTGAACCTTGCGGAGTTCATGGAGCACGACGACAAGGCGTTACCAATCGATATTAGAATACTGGGCAGGGAAGCCGCCCGCTGCCACGCCTATGCTAAAGCTCTACACTATAAGGAATTAGAATTCTTACAAGACCAGAGCGGCCCAGCAGTGGAGGCCCTGATAGTTATCAACAACCAACTGCAACAGTATGATGCTGCCATTGGGATACTACGCAAGGCACAGCTGTATAAAGATGGAATACAGCTCCGTGAGACCTGGTTCGAGAAACTGGAGCGATGGGAAGAAGCCCTGGCCTTCTATGACAAGCGAGAAGCCGAACTTCCAGAAGATCAATCCATCCCCATTGACATCCTAATGGGCAAAATGCGGTGTCTGCATGCACTTACTGAGTGGGACGCACTTGCCGGTATAGCAGCTAATACCTGGGCAAATGCTGCTCCTGAGGTCCAAAGACGCATTGCGCCTCTGGCCACGGGTGCCGCATGGAGTTTAGGCAAATGGGACGCTATGGAGATATATCTGTCGTCGATGAGGCGAAACTCACCGGACCGCTCCTTCTTCGGCGCTATACTTGCTCTGCATCGCAACCAATTCCGTGAAGCAACACAAAACATCACGCAGGCGCGGGAAGGTCTAGATACAGAACTTAGTGCGCTCGTCAGCGAGTCCTACAATCGTGCCTATCAGGTTGTCGTCCGAGTTCAAATGCTTGCCGAATTGGAAGAGCTTATCGTATACAAACAAGCAGACGAAAAGAAGAAGTCCACCATGCGACGTACCTGGGAGACTCGTCTGAAGGGTTGTCAAAGGAATGTAGAAGTATGGCAACGAATGCTTCGACTCCGGGCTCTAGTCATCTCTCCTGAAGAAAACATGCACATGTGGATCAAATTTGCGAATCTTTGCAGAAAGTCGAACCGCATGGGGCTTGCCGAGAAGTCCTTGAAACAGCTAATTGGCACTGACCATCCTCTCGAAGAGATTATCCCTTATTGGACCCAGAACGACCCAGCGTCGGATGCGGCCGCTCGCAGAATACCTCCTCAGGTCGTCTATGCTGTACTTAAATTCTACTGGGAGTTTGGCCAGCAGCCGGTCATGCGGCAAACCGGGCACCCTGAGAAAACTCTATACTGTCTTCGACAATTCACTGCCGATACGGTACAGCATTTAGACATAGCTCGAGCCTCGTTGCAATCCGTTCCGAACGGTGTCGATCCCATGTCTGACTATGGCTTCCATAATGGTGTCGAGCCTGGTGTCTCTCGACTGAGGTCCCAAAGGGAATACCAAGATCATACTGTTCTCTTGGCGAAATGTTATCTCAAGCAAGGCGAATGGCAGGCCACGTTAAACAAGAGTAACTGGCAAAACCAAAGCGTACAGGAAATCCTGACGTCGTATTCCAAAGCTACGCACTACAACCCTAAGTGGTACAAGGCCTGGCATGCGTGGGCCCTGGCCAATTTCGAGATTGTTCAAACTCTCATGTCACCAACAGACAGAACCACGCCAAGGCCAGACTCATCGGTTGTCATCAATCATGTTGTACCGGCCGTGCAGGGTTTCTTCAAGTCTATTGCCTTATCTTCCGGCAGCTCCCTACAGGACACTCTTCGTCTTCTCACATTGTGGTTTGCCCATGGCGGCAGCAGTGAAGTGAACACGGCAGTGACTCAGGGCTTCGGAACTGTTAGTGTCGATACATGGCTGGAAGTCATACCACAGCTTATCGCACGAATCAACCAGCCGAATCCCAGAGTTCGTCAATCCATCCACAACCTACTGGCGGACGTCGGTCGCAACCATCCACAGGCCTTGGTGTACCCTCTCACAGTCGCATCGAAATCCCCGCAGAATACTAGGAGGTCAAGATCTGCGGCTCTCATCATGGACAGTATGCGGGCACACAGCGCCAACCTCGTCGAGCAAGCAGATATTGTCAGCCACGAACTTATCCGCGTCGCGGTGTTGTGGCACGAGCAGTGGCACGAAGCTATCGAAGACGCTTCTCGTTTGTGGTTCTCTGATCACAATGTGGAAGGCATGCTTGCGCTCCTGACACCGATGCACGAGCAACTCGAGAGGGGGCCCGAGACATTGCGTGAGATCAGCTTTGCACAGACGTTCGGGAGGGATCTTACAGAAGCCCGAGAGTGGTGCCGGCAATATGAAACTAGTGGTGACGTGACCGATATCACCGGCGCATGGGATCTGTACTACCAAGTTTTCCGTCGTATTGGAAGACAACTCCCTCAAATGACATCTCTTGACCTCACGTATTGTTCTCCACGACTTCTCAACGCCAAGAACCTAGACCTCGCTGTTCCGGGCACATACCGTAGCGGTATGCCGATTGTGCGAATTCTCTCATTCGAGACTACCTTCAGTGTCATCAACTCCAAACAACGACCTCGGAAGCTCAATACAGCGGGTAGTGACGGTGTTACATATGCTTTCTTACTCAAGGGTCACGAAGATATACGACAAGATGAACGGGTCATGCAGCTGTTTGGTCTCTGTAACACGCTACTGGCAAATGATTCGGAATGTTACAAACGTCATCTAAACATTCAGCGATACCCAGCTATCCCACTCAGTCAGAACTCCGGCCTCCTCGGCTGGGTCCCGAATAGTGACACCCTACATGTCCTTATCCGCGAATACCGTGAGAGTCGCAAGATCTTGCTAAACATCGAACATCGTATCATGTTACAAATGGCGCCCGACTATGACAACCTCACCCTCATGCAAAAGGTAGAAGTATTCGGCTACGCCCTAGATAACACAACTGGTCAAGACCTTTACCGTGTGCTGTGGCTGAAGAGCAAGAGTTCGGAGGCATGGCTGGAACGTCGTACCAACTACACCCGTAGTCTTGGTGTGATGAGTATGGTGGGCTACATTCTGGGGCTAGGTGACCGTCACCCTAGCAATCTGATGCTGGACCGCATCACGGGCAAGATCATCCACATTGATTTCGGCGACTGCTTCGAGGTGGCCATGAAGCGTGACAAATACCCCGAAAGGGTACCTTTCCGTTTGACTCGTATGCTCACATACGCCATGGAGGTCAGCAACATTGAGGGCAGTTTCCGCATCACTTGCGAGCACGTCATGGGAGTCTTGCGAGACAACAAGGAAAGTGTGATGGCTGTCCTCGAAGCTGTAAGTATTTTCTCGATTACCACCGTGCGCGGCATGATGCTTACCATTGATAGTTCATCCACGACCCGCTGCTCACCTGGCGTCTCACAAACACCGCATCAGCTAATGGCCCGAACTTCCATTCTGAACGTGAGGCAGCTCTTGGCGCAGGCGCTCAGCGGGCGCGTCGTCCCAGCATTTTAGACGCCGAGCATCCGCCGTCCGAGCTGCTGGGTGTGACTCAGAGCGGCCTGGAGTCAATACAGCAGGGGGGCATCCCCGGTCGCGCCCGCGCCCGCACAAACTCTAGTCTCGTCAACGGTGTGACACAAATGGACGGCGAGATGACTGAAATCCAAAACGCACGCGCGGTCGAAGTACTCGACCGCGTGAACCAAAAACTGACCGGCCGGGACTTCAAGTCTAATGAAGAGCTCGAGGTGGTGCAACAGGTCAATAAGCTGATTATGGAGGCTACCAAACTCGAGAACCTGTGCCAGCATTACATTGGTTGGTGTTCATTCTGGTGATTATATTTATGCCGGAACTAGACTGATTGAGTGGAAACTCTGTCGACGTTATGATTGAGAGACGGCCGGCGTTCGGAGTTGGTCCCTGCGACGAATTCGGAATATCCTTGCTACGTGATATCTACGAGCCTCTTTGCGTTGCTATTAAGTTTCCAATTAGAGAGTATGACTACGCGACACGGAGGAAATAGTTAGAACCGGCTATATCAGCTGGGCTTTAGTGTTAGTGTACAAATCAACATCGATATACAAGTCAGCATGTCAGCATGCCCATTGCTTGTACCGAGCTTTATGAGGATGATGTAGTTCCTTAGTACCTAAGCACCAAGTCTTATACGTATGATGCGCTGGATAATGACCACTCACGCAATGACTGATGAAGTCCGCCATACTTAGTGGCTTAATCGTGTAACGAGATCATGTGATAGAAACGCAAATTTAAATAGGAATAGGGATCAAGACACCGTCCAAAAAGCGAAACCATCCTTTGGAGGAACAAAAGAACTCTCGATCGGGGAATCGAACCCCGGCCACCTGCGAACTTGTGCAATGACAAGCAGGTATCCTAACCACTAGACCAATCAAGATAGATGAACTGTTATTGGTTGGAAAACGGTGCCGGTAAAGTGTCTGATTATCCTGACACGCACAGAGCCTAGATCCCACAGTCTAGACATCGTTCAGCATGAAGTGGGACGAAGCACTTTTATCACGCATGCCTAGCGAGCCTAGCAATCCGCAAAACGTGGGCTCGCTTGGTGGATATGTCTCACTTAGTCGATAGAGTGGGCGCCAACGGTGGATGCCCACAAAAAGCCCTGAGACGACGTCGTCAAAAATGTTTCGGCTCGTTACGTAAGCTTTCACCACACTTGAATGCCATCTTCGTTCTTCTTTCAATCTCGCATCTCGAAGTCTGTTGAGCCTGTGACATGATTGGAAAAGAGCGCGGGTTATTCTATCCAATTCCTCGGAATCTTGATTGGTCTAGTGGTAAGGATACCTGCTTGTCATGTACAAGCCGCAGGTGGCCGGGGTTCGATTCCCCGATCGAGAGTTTTTGTTCTGTTTATGTTTTGTTTTCGTGAACACTGTGTCTATTATCATTCTCCATATAACTACAGAATCAGCGTCTTTGGCTCCTAGCGAGCAATCGAGACTATTGGTGCATCTCTCGCTTGCTTAGCAGTTTCACTATCTGTGTTTTGCCTTTGTCATCTCCCGGCGTAAAAACTAGTAGAGCCCCTCTCCACGTGTAAAATTTTGACATCGGACCGAACATCAAGTGTCGAATATAGATTCGCATAGTAGGTTGTTCACTTTATACAATTCCCACATCTTGATTGGTCTAGTGGTTAGGATACCTGCTTGTCATCGACTCGCTCTTGATGATCGAATAAGTGCGCAGGTGGCCGGGGTTCGATTCCCCGATCGAGAGAAGTTTTTGTTTTAATGATAGTTTTACTATATTGTTAATACGCAATGTCTTCTATCTTATCTGGTGATTATCCTGCGGCCATCTAAGCAGTTAAGCGACTGATTATGCCGTAGTCTAACGTGGTGTCCGGCACCTTCAACGTTTAATCCCTTGCTATGCCGTTGTAATAAAGACCTATGGTGGCTGCTTATTCAGTTTCTTATGTCAACTCGAATAATCTGGACTATACCATTGCGCTTAGACCTTTTTGATAGGCGATTCGCAGATTGTCCACACAATCTAAATTGTCTCGGTCTTGATCATCATTGCTCAGCGATTCCTCTATCAAATCGTTCGCATCAAGATTATTCCATACTGATTGGATCAATCACCGTATATCTTACTCCCCTCTATAAATGACTCAGAGACAGGTCGTCGTGGTCGGCTCTCATTACGAAGAAGGTTGACCCTTGATCCAAAGTTTGTGAGCGGTCCGATCTGTCGAACTGGGCGCAGACCTTGAATGGGATACATCTTCAAGGTCTTGTTCCTCCATCTGAATCAGGCTTAGTAATTCTCATCTGAATCAAACATGGTGATTGAGAATGTATTCAATGCTAATTGATTCACAGCAGATGCTAAACACGTACATCGTTTAGAAGGCTACATGTAGGGCCGAACTTGGCCATAGCTTCCTTGACGCTGTTAAGGGGGGCCGCCTTGTTGAAACCAGCCAATGGTCCAGGGTTTCATTATCTTCAACTTGTGCTAACATCTGACCTCTCTCTATGCCCTCTCTCTATGCCCTCTCTCTATGCCCTCTCTCTATGCCCTCTCTCTATGCCCTCTCTCTATGCCCTGTTACTGCCAAATCACACAGCTGCAAGTGAGTGCAACATGATGTGGCAGTTGTTCCTAACCTTATGATTGCGTCTTTATTCAAACGTTATCATGAAAGCGCTCGTCTCTGCGTACTTGACAACAAGTCAAGGATCTAACACAATGTCATTCACGCCTCTGATGCGATATCCTCATCCATATGACTTCAGTCATAGCCCTGTATGTTCTTGAGCATCACTAGCTAACGACCTTTATTCACCACTTTATGAACCCCTGATCTGCTTTGTGGGTGTTGTGTTATCTCATGTATTTTAGAATGCTTAACCATCGGTCTATCCAGACTCACTGCCTCAACGTGACTCATTTGTGATTACACGTAGGGTTGCTCTGTTCGCGTGAATGATTCGAGTGCAACTCGTACACTCAATAACCATTTATTTACCTTGCTTTCACCTTCCCCTCGAGTCCCCAGCCAATTCTTCAATTAGCTTCAAGCTTCAAACAGAGCACACACTTGTGCTTTTCTAATCGTACGCTCAATGATCCCTTCTCCTTTCCGACGCCGCGCAATTCTAGTACCTAGGCTAACATTCATATGTTGAACCATTGCTTTCGACAGCCGAAGCCAAACCCCCCTCTCGCAAACAGCGAGTGACAATTCTATATCTGATCCTTCATAATGAACCTGCGGTCAAGACCATCGAAGTGGCCATCGGATGAAAACGGGCCTTTTGATATTTCCATGATGGGATGGTGTCGCACGGATGAGATGCTGCTCTTGGATCGGATGTCACGTGAAGAATCCTACATCACTGATGACTTCCGCACTAAGTAATGCATGTTGAACTCGCTCTAGCCATGTTCTCCGATTCTCGTCGTCCTTATTTTTACTGATTGTGATATCTCAAAGTTCCTCGCTGCACGCAATGGGTACAGTATCTTCAATGAGGCTAGGATATTTCTAAGAACTGGTGCACTATTGTTGGTATGCATACCAGAAGCAAAAATCGATGTTGTAGTTACTTTCGAAATCGATTTCATTCTCCTGGACCAATTCGTCCCTATCGTCCTCGGTCAATTCGCTGTGACCGGAACGCAACTATTCGGTAAGATCATCGTAAGTATATTCGCCGACGCATTACACCTACCTCTTTGATATCATTTGATACTCTGGTCACAGCTCTTGATTGCTATGCACAGACCGTGTGGCTGAAGCTCGTTTGCTTCAAGAGCGAGTGCTTCAATGGGTTAACATCATCTGACCGTGAAACGACTGAGATAGCTCTCGCTCAATGTTCTCGTTTGCTTGATAGCGAGTGCTTCAATGGGCTGCTAGCTCCTGCTCAATGGGTTAATGGTCGTGTTGAAGCATCACATGGGATGTTCTCGTCGTACCAAGTGTATAAATATCTTCCCTTCCCCCTTCTTGTTCTTGTTTCCTCCATCTCTCTCACATCACCTTTCCCAGTCCTCCGCTCTGTTCCTCATCTTTGAGAACAGACAGCAACTGGCCTTGTCCTCTCCCAGCCCGTAACCTACCTCCCAAGAAGACAGCACAGGTACAAGAAGCACTCAGGTAAGATATTCAGAACCCTTTCACTTCTTCCACCGTGCTGCCATCACATATTCCAGCCCCTCACTCTCCCCTTCTTTGCCTGCCTTCTAAGAGACATTCATTACGCCCCTTGTCCTCCTGGTACAATATCCCTTCCACTATCCGGACTATCTAAAGCCAAGTTCAATGTCCTCGCCAAGTTTATCTACTTGAAGCAGCTTCCACTCAAGTCAATATTGCGAGGCGGGTGCTCCCGCTTGCAACCCAGGACTGTGCCCAAACAAACCAAACTGCTCCCGCCTCCTTCTGCTCAGAGTCCCCCCTCGTGGGCCCCCACCATCACCGAGTTTCCTATCTTCCTTACTCAGTTTTTTCTCAACTGTTCCCCTCTTCAATATACAACCTTGAGTAGGGAGACTACTTACTCACCTTTCTGATCTCAGCAGTCTCTGCAGTTTGCCTGTGCCGCCTCGTGGACAGGTAAGGAGGGCTGCAGGCGGTGTCACCAATCACCCAAGGCTGCCAACAAGCAACACCACACAGCTTTCAATCTCATTCAGACGTCGGGTTGCTTTCCAACTGCGGTCATCTTCCCGTTTTGCCAGTACTCCCCTCTTCCTTCGTCTACCACCATCAGAGGCTATCCCGCCCTACCCCGCCATCATGTCGTCCCTCGTCGCCACCCGAAAGCCTCTTGTCAAGCTCGTCGGGCGCTCCAATGTGCAGGAGTGGGATGTCAGCATTCGCGAGAATCTCAAGTTCTATGATCTCGACCATCTTCTCGACCATGCTCCGGCCTACGGCTCCAAGCGCGCCCCGTCGTCCCACGAACTCGACCTGGCCATGTCGCTGCTCTGTGTCTCCGTCTCGCCTAAGCTACTGCCATCGATTGTCACCCCAGGTGAGCGGGATGAAGACATGCCTTTCTACCACAATGCTCGCGCTTTGTATCTCGCCATCCTCGATGAAGTCAATCGTCGCGCATTTTTCACTGCCCCCGACCAGCTTCGACTCCTCCAGACTCTGCGTCCCCGCGACACCAAGCCAGCCGACTACACTACGTTCTTCCACCAGTTCATCGCCATTGTCAATGAGCTTAAGGACATGGGAACTCCCATGGACGGATTCACTGCTATCGGCTTGATCATCAATGCTGTCCGTGAGAGCGATTCCATCTACGCTATTACCCTTGAGGATCGCTACTCCCTCACTCCTGACGGCTTCGACCGCTTCTGTGCCAATGTTTTCTCCGGCCAGGAGAGCTCCGAGAAGTCCGTTGCGAAGTCTACTGCACCTGATCGTGGCCCGTGGGTATCTCCCGTTATTAGCACTCGGCGCCATCCTGGTATGGAAGATTGCGGTTACGAGAGCCGTGCTGGTATGAATGACTGGGGTGACGAGAGCCGTGACGGATGGCGTCAGAGAACTCCATCCGAGTCCACAGAGAAAGCCTCGGTCATCTATGATGCCACCGACAACGGCAACAACGACCATGAGACTGGAGGCAATGCTGCTGCTGCCAACGACGAATGGGGCACTGCCATTGGTAGCGTCCCCAAGGCAGAGGGAGTCCAGGTCAATACTCGCACGCCCTACCATGGCAACTGGAAGTTCCCAGTTCCGGAGACTGGTGGCTCTGAAGCTCACGGTCGCGAGGACTTGAACTCCAACGATGACGAGACTGACAACGATGGCCGCACAATGCCGGGCTCCTGGCACGATCATGATCGCGATGCCCCTGGCTATCACTCCGGCTGGGACCAGCCTCTCAACTACGACGACGAGAACGACACTTACGACGAGTCGTATGAGTCAGAGGAGTCCGGCCACGACTACTCGGATTGGGAAGCCCCTGTCCACAGCTCTTCCCGCTGGGTCTCAGGCAATGACTCGTGGCTCTAGATTCCACACCACACTAGCATGTGAAGGCCTCAATGAGTAAGTGACTCCTTCACCAATGTCTGCGAGCTATTCACTGACAAGAAACAGACAGACGGGCCATCTCCCACGTCAGAGACGGGGCACATACGATTTCCTTTCGTCGCTTTCATTTGTCTAGCACACCGAGTCAATCATGACACATACAGAGCAACTCTCGGATGCTTCATGCGCAGAGTTGCAGGCGTCGTCGATGCATGTCGATCACGGAGTGTTGCACGACGCGACTTCTACGGAGCTCTCAACGGGCATCTCCATCAGCAGCTGTCCATGACCAATACTCGGTATCTCTTCCGCGGTCTATATTGCTACGAGTTGACCAAAAAGAAGAAAAAAAACCAGAAAATGAAAACCCGACAAAAAAAAAAGTCTAAGTGCGAAGGAGGGGTAATGGTAGGAAAGTCAGATCATAACAGAAAAAGAAGAAAAAAAGAGGTATGGGTGCAAGTCAGCACTGTCCTCATGGTTCTTGCGGAGTAGGAGAGAGTATGAAGACCATGGATGCAAGAGCATGGCGCCAGAGTCATTTCCTATTGCACTGCAATGGAGGCATAGGCCCTTAAGGCATTTCCACAGATGAATTCACAATGATTTCATGAAACAGTATGATACTGTAGACGTGATTGAAACTATTGTGAGACAGTGATGATGATGATGATGGTGACGTTTTGATGTAAGATGACATATG